TACTTGAATTTGTTATAACATGTTACATATTTTATTGGTAAATTTACTCTCACATGATCTAATTGATGTTGCTAGCATTTGTTATACCCTTTATTGTTTTAATTGCTCTTATATGCTTAATTGAAGTTGCTACCTTCCTTATTGTCTTGTTACCTCTTTTATTGTTGAAATACTCTTACTTGAAGTTGTTATTTCGTGGAATATCTTCTTATTTAGTCATGGGTGTTGAAGTTGTGGAAATCATTATCACATTAAGGTTCAAATTATTACTTGTTGAGTATTCCTCATTCATTTTGATATTATTGAGATTCTTGTATACATTGTGATTGAGCCATGGTCTCTACGTTGTGGTAACATTGGTATTGTTGTTTTCGGCAAGTGTTTTGGCATATGGACACATGTGGTGCGAGTTGATTATTGTGTTGTAATATTGATACGCATGCGGTGGTATAAGGATAGGGGTTGATACGCATGCAGTGAGATAAGGTGGGAATTTATACGCATGTTGCTAGTAAGGGAATTACTTGAAGCTATGCAGTGAGATAAGAGGGCTAAAATACTTGTAGCTATATCGGAAAAATGTTTTCAACAATAAATGCAAGGCTCATGCGGTGATATAAGGAAAGATTGTGATTGAAGTTGTGAAATCTGAAAATGAGGCGGTACCTCAATTGTGATTCTTGTTGTACATTCCATGCTAAAAGAGGCTTGTTGGTTGAACAATTCTTGTTTTTTTCTTCATTGTCTTACTTGTACTTGTCCGTGTTTGACAATTTGTTGTTTCATCATGTCTTACTACTTGTTGCCTTTACCGCTTAAATTTCCGTTGCTAGGTTATACTGTAAACTGCTTATTTATCATTTACTTCCATGCTTTCCATTATTAGACTAAGCTATATTCTGTTTGGCTTTCTTTTCCTAGTAGGTGTCTTTACCTGGCCTTGTCACTACTCTACCGAGGTTAAGCTTGATAGTTACTAGGTACATTTGTGGTATACTCATACTATGCTTTTACACATTTTTGTGCAGATCCAGGTACATCTGCCCGTGCTGGACGCCAGTGATTGATTGGCTACTTTTGGAGACTTCAAGGTACACCTGCTTGACGTTCATAGGCCTTGAAGTCACCTTCTGCTTTTAGATGTTCTACTGTTTATTTCCCGTTCCAAAACACTATTGTATTTCGAGACTATTAGTCCATTCATGTAGATCTTATGACTCGGTTCCACCAGGTTTTGGGGAGTTGTTATTAGCTGTACTGTTGAGTTTTATTTATGATAGTTTAATGGTTTAATTAGAGGTTTTATTATTATTTCTGCTATTTCTTAATGTATATTAGGCTTACCTAGTCTTAGAGACTAGGTGCCATCACGACATCCTAAGGGGAGAAATTGGGATTGTGACAAATGTGATCCGAGCTCAGTTGGCAAAAGCAAACTCTACTTCACAAGTACAAAGTGCTAGCCCCACCCCATGTTCACATTTGCGAGCCTGATATCGGAAATGTGAGGCTCGCAATTGCGACCAGGTGCTAGTAAATGCGAGACTTGCAGCCTTACACCAGCAACTGTTGGGCACCAACAATTCCAAATCAGTCCGCAATGCATCCGAAACTTATCCGAGCCTCTCGAGCTCCAGACTGAACATGCACATAAGTGTAATAACATCATACAAACTCGCTCACTACCTCAAATCACCAAAATAACATCAAATAACAAGAATCGATCATCAAAAGTCAAGATTTCAACTTAAAAATGCATTTTCCCCAATCTTTCACATAATGCGCCGAAACGCGCTCAGGTCACCCGGAACCCCAACCAAATATGTGTACAAGTCCAAAAATATCATACAAACTTACCAGAATCGTCAAAAATACAGATCTGGGGTCGTTAACCAAAAACGTTGACCGTGGTCAACCCAACCTCATTTAAGTCAAAATCACCTTTTCTTCAAATTTTACATAAATATTTTATGAAAAATGACACAGACCATGTACACATGTCATATAACATTAAATGAAGCTACGGGAGTCTTGAAACATAGAAAAGGGTGCTAGTATGCAAAATGAAATATTAGGTCGTCACAATATCATTTAAATTCTGCAATTATATCTATTTGTATCTGTGTGCCTAGTTTAAAGAACTACGTTCTTTGAAATTTCAAATTTCGAGTCAGACATAATTCAAACCCTCTTCTTCAGTCTGGTTCAACTCTAAAATAACAATCAGTATTAGAGTAGGTTCTTTCATAAGAGGCTAACACCTTGAAATGATCTACAATGACTGCACCACCGGATGCGCAAGAAGTTCATCCTCGAACAGACATAGAAACGTACCTGGACTGGTAAAAAGGTGGGGGTATCTTCTCCACATATTGGACTTAGACTCCCACGTAGCCTCCTCAATCGGCTGACCTCTCCAATGCACTTTCACATAAGGAAACTCTTAGATCTCAACTTACGAACTTGTCGATCTAGAATAGCCACCGACTCTTCCTTATAGGTCAAATGTTTGTCAAGCTGCACCGTGCTGAAGTCGAAAACATGTGATCTATCCTCATGGAACTTTTCGAAGCATGGAAACTTGAAATATCGGATGTACCCTCGTTAGGATAGGAGGCAATGCAAGCCTATAAGCAACCTCCCCAACTCTCTCCAAGATCTAAAACATGTCAATAAACCTCGGGATCAACTTGCCCTTCTTCCCAAACTGCAAGTCGCCCTTCGTAGGCGACATTCGGAGAAGAACCTTCTCACCTACCAAGTAGGCCATATCTCAAACCTTCCGATCCGCATAACTCTTTTTCCTGGACTGAGCTGTATGAAGTCGCTCTTGAATCACCTTAACCTTTTCTAAAGCATTACGAAGCAAATCAATGCCCAGCAATCTAGCCTAACCAGGCTCAAACCAACCAACCGGCGAACGACATCACCTCCCATATAAGGCCTCGTACGAAGCCATCTAGATACTCGACTAATAGCTATTATTGTAGGCAAACTCTACTTGAGGTAAAAACTGGTCCCACTGACCCCAAAATCCATAGAGCTCACCCGCAATATGTCTTCCAATATCTGAATAGTGCGCTCGGACTGCCCGTCCGTCTGAGGATAAAATGCGGTACTCAGCTTAACCCACATGCCTAACCCATGTTGCACGGCTCTCCAAAAATGCAATATAAACTGCGTGCCTTGGTTAGAAATGATGGAAATGGGCACGCCGTACAGGAAGATAATCTCCCCGACATAAATCTGAGCCAACCGCTGTGAAGAATATGAAGTCATCACCGGAATGAAGTGTGCAGACTTAGTTAACTGGTTCACAATAACCCAGACTGCGTCATATTTCCTCAAGGTTCATGGTAAGCCTACTACAAGATCCATAGTGTTGCGCTCCCACTTCTACTTCGGTATCTCCAATCTATGAGTCAACCCACACAGTTTCTAATGCTCATACTTCACCTGTTCAAAATTCAAACACTGAGAGACATAATCAACAATATTTTTCTTCATTCTTTGCTACCGATAGTGTTGTGTCAAGTCACGGTACATCTTCGTGACACCTGGATGAATGGAATAGCGCGAACTTTGAGCCTCATCAAGAATCAGCTCTCTCAACCCATCAACTTTTGGAACACTTATTCGGCCATGAAGCTGCATAACATCGCCATCTCCAATCAAAACATCATTGGCACCACCACGCTGCACCGTGTCCTTCAACACCAACAAATGAGGATCATTAAACTAGCGATCTTTGATACGCTCCAACAACAATGACTGCCACAACACAAGCAAAAACCCGGTTGTGCACCAAAACATCCAATCTCATGAGCTAATTGGCCAAAGCCTAAACATCCATTGCTAGTGGCCTTTCCACTGCTGGTAAATATGCCAAATTGTCCATGCTCTCAGCCTTCCTACTCCATGCATCGCCCACTACATTGGCCTTTCCCGAATGATATAATATGGTGATTTCATAGTCTTTCAACAAATATAAGCATCTCCGCTGTTGCAAATTAATGTCCTTCTTCTTGAATAGGTGTTGGAGACTCCGATGGTCGGTATAGACCTCACATGGGATGCCGTATAGATAGTGCCTCTAAATATTCAGCGTGGGAATAATGGCTACCAACTCTAAATCACGCACAGGGTAGTTCTTCTCATGAATCTTCAAGTTCCGAGACGTGTAGGCAATCACCCTACTATCCTACATTAATACTGCACCAAGTCCAATACGTGATGCAACACAATACACGGTGTAGGATCCTAAACCTATAGGCAACACCAACACTGGGGCTGTAGTCAATGCAGTCTGAAGCTTCTGAAAGCTCTCCTCACACTCGTCGGACCATCTGAAAAGAACACCCTTTTGGGTCAACTTGGTCAATATGACTGAGATAGATGAAAATTCCTCCACAAACCAATGGTAATAACCCACCAATCCCAAAAAGCTCCAAATTTCTATAGCTGAAGTAGGTCTAGACTAGTTCTGAATTGCCTCAATCTTCTTAGGATCCACCTTTATGCCCTCGGAAGATACAACATGCTCCAAAAGGAAACTGAGTCTAACTAGAACTCACACTTCAAAACTTGGCATATAACTGACGATCCTTCAAAGTCTGAAGTATGATATGGAGATACTGCTCATGCTCCCCTCGGCTGCGAGAGTAAACCAAGATATAATCAATGAAGACAATCATGAAGGAATCCTGATAAGGCTCGAACTCCAAGTTCATCAAATCCATAAAGGCTGCTGGGGCTAGTCCGAAAAGATATCTTAGGGACATTCGATGCCCTCACTACTAGAAATTGGAGCTATGGCAACACTTTTTATTGCCACGGATATGTAACCGTTGCTATAGATAGTCTATTGCAACGGTTCCAACCGTTGCGTAAGGTAATTGGTACTATCAACATAGTTTAGCGTCTAAACCGTTGCGTTATTCCAAAAACCGTTACAGTAGATTTTCTATGGGATTTCTTTTATAGACAACCATGGCAATAAGTCTATCTATAGTAATGGTTATTTGCAATTTTAATGTAAGTCAACGGTTATGAATTCCCTCTTTAATTTCCGCCAAATTTTGGACGGCCCGCTAAAAGAGACCCGCTTCTATTTTATTTTATAATTAATAAAATAATAAAAACTAATAATAATACACACACCAGAGATTACGAGGAAGACAAACACCTTATCACAAAAAGTTCCAATCTCTCTCTCCCAAAAAGCATTTATCAGTTCGCCGGAGATTACAAGGAAGACAAACCACCATCGGCGGCACAGGTAAGCTACATTTTTTTATCACGATTCCAACTGTATTCTACCATTTTTGTTTATTTTCTTTAAGATCTCTGTCATTCCTTCTGTTTTCCACACTGCCTGCGCGCCGCTAGGCCTTCTGTTTTTCATTTCTAGGGTTTCATAGAAAATGAAGTTGAGCTCTGTATTTGTCGAAACATCAATTCTTTTGTCTCAATTTATTTAATTTGAGGTCTTGCAACTCCAATGTTGAATTTTTGAGTGATGTTAATTACTAGTAAAGAGGGTTTGTGTTATCTATATGGAGTTTAACTTTCTTGAAAGTTGACAAAACGTGGGTTATAAAGATACTGTGATTTGTCCTATAAAAAAATAGTACAAGTATTTAATTTGGAAATTTTTAATCATAATTCAGATTTCTGCAACTTTCAAGATTCTTCAGGTATTGCTTTTGTCACCATCAGAAAGAGATTATGTGATGTTACATCAGAAATGTAATATGGGCATTATTTGATTTCAAATTCTGAAGTTGCCTTTCTTATTGGTACTATAAGTTGTCAATGATAAGTGATATGCAAACAACTCTACAATATCTAGTCTCTTTAAGTGAGACCTTGTGACCATTAGGCCATTTCTTATGCAGAGAAGATTAGTCAAGAATAAATGAGACCTTGTGACCATTAGGCCATTTCTTATGCAGAGAAGATTAGTCAAGAATAAATGAGACCTTGTGACCATTAGGCCATTTCTTATGCAGAGAAGATTAGTCAAGATTAGTCTTCTGCTATATAATATTACTACTTTTCTCTATAGGTAGATTCTAATGGAGATGGTAGAAATATGTCTAAGCTTATTGTTAGTTTCTGCTCTTTCAAAGTTTATTCTACTATAGAGTCATGTCTGGAGTTAAAATCATTGCTCTTCTTAGTCTGAATTGGCTGACATAAAAAGGTGTGTGATGAATTAGTATATTTTGTCCGACTTCCGAATTTAACAGGGTTCAGAGGATTGACATTTATATCATTATCTTGGTATGCTGGTGGAGTAAATTCTGTATTCAGAGTTTATTGTTCCAATATTTGCTACTAGGAAAACAGAAAGCAGGAAATATTGTATAATCAGACACATAACTACATGAAGTATAAATACAACCATCGCTGCATTTAACTTATAGTAGTAGATTAGTATATAAGAGTAGAGATTTTTAAAAGCTCACAGTAATGGAGGCTTTACCTATTTTACAGTCGAACTTTGAGGAATCATGGTAATCCAACTTTTCTTCATATAAAAATTCATAGGCTTACGCCAATTAGTCTTCTTCAAACAATGACCAATATATTTATATAGTTAGTTCTTTTCATTTTTATCAAGAATAAAGTAGTGGTCAAGGATATCTATGCAACCCATAAAAAAGAGAGGACATCTATGCTTGTGGGATAAAATCAATATTCTATGGTACATGGTGAAACTACAATTGGAGGCAATACTCTCTAAATTAATACCTTTTTTCAATTTTGTATTCTCTTGTCGAATGAGGTTTACCTTTTTATAGAGTTCTATATTTTCTTGATGAATATGATTGCCCTGCAGAAGCAATATTAATTATTTGGGTACCAAAATTTAAAGATAAGAGAATATGGGAAGTTGTGATAGTTTTTCTAGTAGAACCTTCTGATTTAGTTCTCCTTTTCTGTGTTTGTTGATTTTTATGCTATATACTGTATTCTTTAGATTCTTGGTCATTTGTTGGAAATTGATGCCCGACTTAGTTATCTCATGCTTCTTTTGGCTAAGTCTCTGCGGTCTATGGAGTCTTCCTAAAGGATTTTCTATGGTTTCCTTCTTACCCAACTCTGTATGCAAGTCTTAGATATTTCAGTGGTTTCCTTTGGTAAAGGAGGAGAAATTCCAGCTAACATGGTTGTTAAATGTTTGGCCTGCCTGGGATTCTAGCTAACATGATTATTTTTGTTTTCATTACGATATATTAATATGGTTTAAAGCTGCCTCTATGGTCAGCTGTGATAAATATCTCTTTAAAGAACTTTCTACTCAACGTGCACACCTAGTAGTACTAAATGATGGAGTTTTTTCGGGATTCTATTCTTTCTATGTGAAACCTTTTATATGAAAACTGAGAAGGATATACTGTAAGATCTACGTCATATATGATCTTCTACTTTTGTTGATTCCAAGTATTCCAAGTTTCCGTATCTGTGCTATTGCTAATACAGAAATCGAAGTCAGAATTAAAATCATTATTGGCAGTAGTAGTAGCAGCAATATCTTTGTGGCAAAGATTATGGGAAACGGAGATTCTTGGACTTGTGGCTAAACTTGGAGCTTTAGAGATCATATCAATGGCCATGGTTTTTGTTTTCTTGATTCAATTATTGAAAGGACATAAAAGAAAAAAATCTAACGCGGTGGGATAGTTGTGGTAAGAGGACAAGATTCAAATGTGATGTGGGAACACTGCCTAACAGGGTCCTTGGGCTTTATATGTTAGCTATTCGAATTTCTACAAAAATTCAATTGACTTGGTCGTTGAAACCAAGTGAACCTCTCTCCCACTGTTAGTTGCATGATGTCGATATGTTCATTAGAAGGAGTTGAGGCATAGTCATCCAACTCGTCAACATATATTACGTCGTCTCACACTGCTGCTGTTGTGATAACCAAAAGAATCACAACAAGATTCTCAAATATTGTTGATTCTGTCATGAGGTTCTTTTTCTTCTCATCCATTTCATACTCAACTTGATCTTCAATTTCATTATTCTTGTTTTCATCAGTATCTAAACCAGTTGCTAATGTTTCTTCACCATTCGTTATGGTCAAACATGGCAAACTTAGAAGACTACAACTTCTTGTTGTAGTTTCTTTTTGTTTTACAACTACTATTGTTGGTTCTGGAGTTTTTATGTTCTTTTCTTTTTTCATGGCAATTTGTGCTATGAGTATTCTTAGACCGGATTCTCTTGAAGGGTAATAACTTTATTTATCCTCTTTAGTAGGTGGAGTAGATCAAGAAATGAATGATGAAGACAGTGAAGAACTAGACCTTACTTGAGATGAATTTTGAATTGTTATAGATGAATGTTCTAGGAATATTTTGTTATCAACATTTTTGAAACTTACTCTCTTGAAATGTACTAAACTTATGCACTTGGGGTAGAACATTTGCTTTAAGGATATTATTTGCTTGATAGATAATTTTATATTATTAATAGTTTCATTTTATGATGTATTTAAATTTTAGTGTTATTATAATTTATTATATATATAAATAATTATTTATAACAGGTGCTATATTTTGGTTTTAATTGAACTGATACAATAGCCTACCGGAACCGTTGCAATAGGACACAAATGACGTTCCATTAGATAATGTAAATTATTGCAATAGGTTCTATAAACCGTTCCAAAATGATCTATAAACCGTTCCAAATACAAATATAACTGTTACGATAGCTTAAATAAACCGTTGTTATATTCATATATAACCGTAACAATAGCTTACATAAGTGTTGCCTTAAATAATATGGTAACGGTTAAGAACCGTTGTATAAACAATGTAGTAACGGTTTTAAACCGTTCCAATAAAAAAAAAATTATTCCAACAGAGAAAGGAAAAACCGTTGCGATAGACGTATCTATAGTCACGGCGATGCAAACAGTTGCAAGAACCATTCCTATAGACCTATGGGCACGCGGGCTGATGTAACGGGCGGTAAACCGTTCCAATATCTCTATGGCAACGATTAACAGTTTGTGGGAACAGTTTTTCAAGCGTTACCGTAGACCACTTTTTCAGTAGTGCCTAATCTTTACCTGATGGTAGTCCGGCCTAAAATCAATCATGAAAAACACCTTGGCACCCTGAAGCTGGTCAAATAAGTGATTAATCCTCGGCAACGGATACTTGATCTTGATAGTGACCTTATTCAACTGCTGATAATCCATGCACATTCACATCAATATGTCCTTCACAAAAAATACTGGTGCACCCCAAGGCGAGATACTAGGTCTAACGAATCCCTTATCAAGCAAATCCTGTAATTGTTCCTTCAATCCTTTCAACTCAATCGGGGCCATACGGTATGGTGGAATAGAAATAGGTTGAGTGCCCAGAACTAAGTGAATGCAAAAGTTGATATCTCTATCAAGTGGCATGCCCGATAAGTCTGGAAGAAATACATATCGGAACTCACGCACAATCGGGACCGATTCCATGGAAGGAACCTCTGCACTAGAATCACGAATATAATCCAAATACCCCTAAACACCCCTTCTCAACCATACGCCGAACCTTCATATATGAAATGACCCTGCTAGTGGAGTGACCAAGAGTCCTTCTCCACTCCAATCGAGGCAGTCTCGACATGGCCAACGTCACAGTCTTGGTGTGACAATTCGGGATAGCGTGATACATGTACAACCAATCCATGCCAAAAATCACATCAAAATCTACCATATCAAGAAACAAAAGGTCAACCTTAGTCTTATAGCTCCCGATAGTGACTAAACATGAGCGATAGATCCAGTCCACCATAATAGAATCCCAATGGGCGTATACTCATCAATATGAGCACTCAAATAATCACAAGACATATCCAATTGTGAAGCAAAATAGGATGACACATACGAATATGAGGAACCCGGATCATATAAAAATAATGCATCTCTATGGAAAACCAGAACAATATATATGATAACCGCATCAGATAAGTCTGCCTCAGGTCTAACTGGGAATACATAGCAATGGGGATGAGGCCCACCAATATGACCTCCACCTCTTGGACAGCCTTTCACTGACTGGCCTCCACCTCTGGCGGCATGACCCCTGCCTCTAGCTGGCTGAGCAGGCGGTGGCGCAACTGGTGCCAGAATCATGGCATGAGTAACCTGATGTGGTGTGCTGCTCCTCAATCTATGATAATACCTCCTGATATGACCTTCTTTGCTGCACTTAAAGCAACCCCGTGGCTGGCGTAACTGCTAAGTCTAAGACATCCCTGATGACCTGAATGACCACCGTAGTAACTTTGTAGTGGAGGTGCACTAATAGGAGCTGAAGGTGTACTGAGTACTAGATGCTCTGAAAGAGACTCATATGCGCCATGACCACATGAAGGACTAGGAGACACCTGAAGTGCTGACTGAGCGGGCCTGATAGGATGACCTCTACCAAATGAACCTCTACCACTAGATGAGGCACCACAAACACCACAAAATGTCGAGGCGTCTTTTCTAATGCTGCCTCTATACCCTGACCACGAATCCTCTTGATCCGCCTAGCTATCTCCACAACCCGAGTAAAAGAAATATCATCCTCGATCTCTCTACCCATTTATAGCTTGATACCATAAGTAAGGCCATCCATAAATGCCTGCACCCTCTCCCTTTCAGTAAGGTTCAGGATAGCTCCATGGCGTGATTGATCCATAAATTTGGACTCATAGTGGGTAACGGTCATGCTACCCTTCTGTAGGCGCTCAAACAGACTGCATAGATCCTCTCTTTGAGTAAAGGAAATGAATTTCTCCAAGAATAACTGTTAGAACTAAGCCCATGTGAGAGGAGGTGAACCTGCTCCCCAATCATACTCCTGCCACCACCTCTTGGCGGAGCCATGCATATGACACACTGTGAAGTCAACTCCATTGGACTCCACTATTCTCATGTTGTGCAATACCTCATGGAAACAATCCAAGAAATCCTAGGGGTCCTTAGAAGGTGTACCACCAAAATGAATAGGAAACAACTTGGTGAACATGTCCAACCTCTTCAGTCCTTGAGACAACATCGCGGGTCCCTCCTGTAGCAATAATAGGATGAACTGCTATAACTGGTGGGACTGCTCGTGTATGATGCCCGTGAGCCATCTGCTTTTGAGTGTGTGTAGTAGGAGTCTGGGCTCCTCCCCTAGCCTAGGAGATGGCTAGTTCCATAGGAAACACACAGGTCTGGGCCACACTCCCTATAATGCCCACCAGGAAGACTAGGTTATCCTGAAGTGCTATGATAGCAATGAACTCCTCTAGGACCTGAGCCGGTTCAACTGGCATGGCCTGAATAGGGATCTCCTCATCCTGCTCGATTTTAGGCTGAGCTTTGCCTCTAGCTCTACCTTGGACCCGGCCTCTACCCCTGGTAGTGGTTTTAATTGGGCTATGACTCCTGATCTGCTATGGATACCGTGCGTGTCCTCACCATTTGTGAGAGAACAAGAATAGAATGATTCAAACTCAATGATAGAATAAAGTTGCACGATAGAGAAAGAAAAAAGGTGAAATTTTCCTAAACATTACAGCCTCCAAAAGATAAGTACAGATGTCTCTATACCGATCCTCCAGACTCTACTAAGTTTGCTTTGATACCAACTTGTCACGGTCTGATATCCTAACCATAGGGTCGTGATGGCGCCTAACACCCAGTTGCTAGGCAAGCCAATGTTAGATAAAGAATTAACTAATTTTAATAATTTAAACGCAGAATAATAGTAATTAAATACTGAAATAATCTTCAATTCATATAATAAGTCCATTAGTAATGCGATCTAAACTAATTCCACAAATACGGAATTACAAGTACATGAGCGACTAGAATACTACTAATATAGTCTGAAATAAAATACAACTATTCGAAACAAGATAAATAGTAAAACAAGATAGAAGAGGACTCCAGGGGCTGCGAACGCGATATAGATCTACCTCAAGTCTCCTGGATGGATATGATCCAAGCAATCTCCTCTATGCGCTTCTAGGACCAACACCAGGATCTACACAAGAAGTGCAGAAGTGTAGTATCAGTACAACCGACCACATATACTCTATAAGTGTCAAACCTAACCTCAACTATGTAGTGATAAGGCTACGATAAGATACTCACTATAAACCTGTTCGAATAATAAATAGAAGATAATAGAAATATAGAGAAAACGTATAAACTCATAAGAACGGGACCTGAAGGTCTACTAACAGAGGGCCCAACATAATATTATCTCATAACCTCATGTCACAGTACATAAATAGAACACCACAGTTACAAAACGTTATAACACATCATACCCCGTTGCGGTGCACAACCTGATCCCTATAGCATCACAATATCTATTGCAGCATGTAACACGATCCCACTATCATATCAATATTTATTGCGGTATGTAACCTGATATCAATATTATATTAATATATATTGCAGCGTGCAACCCGTTTTCATTATCAATTTACCATCATTAACAACTCAACAAACCAAATTCCGAAATTCCATCACAAAAAGGGTACTAAAGCGTTTAAAAAACCAAGGAACTATAAGTACCAACAGGGAACAGACCTAGAATGGATACTATTAGGTTTGATTATAGAGCGTTGGAAGAATAATTTAGAATTCGGCTTAAACAATTGGCCATGGTACTTGTTGAACGAGGGAAAGCTCTGTGACCTGTTGATCTGGTGAGTGATTGTGAGTTCATGTATGTTTCATTTATTATCAGCAGTGTACGAAGTTTTTGGAATGAGTTTTTTTTATATGGGGTTTAATACCAGTACTGAGTTGGTTTTGGAGTAGTTACTGTGAACGGGAATGGTGCTACGAGCATGCAAGTTGTGTCGTATGTTATGTGATTATATCTGTGGTTATAGTTATGGCTCGATACAACTTGTTCAGACTTATACAGTGTGTAAATGTGAGATTCGGGTCTTGTACGAAATTCTGAATGTTGGGAATTGAATTCCAAAGTATTTGGGCTAAGTTTAAATTAATGATTTTCAGTTGTGTTGTGTTGTCAAGCCTATATATAATAGGGTTACGTGTGATCAGCCCCGGGTATGTGCGTGGGAAGGTGGAACAATTATTTAAAGACTTAGGAACAACTCTTGGCACGTTCGAGGACGAAAGTATGTTTAAATGGGGGAGAATGTAACGACCCGGCCGATCGTTTTGAGCGTTACAACCCCGTTCCCCCATTTACTGCTTATCCTATGTTCAATTATAATTTTGTGACTCGTCGGAGAGGTTTCATAATGAATTGGAACACTTAGTTCCAAACCTTAAAGCTTAAGTTGAAAAGGTTGACCGGATGTTGACTTATGTATAAACGACACTGGAATAGAATTTTGATGATTCCAATAGCTCTGTATGGTAATTTTGGACTTGGGAGCGTGTCCGCAAAAGTTTTTTGAAGTCCATAGTTAAATTAGGTTTGCAATGGCTAAAATAGAAATTTAAGTTTAGAAGTTTGACCGG